TTAGACAATATCTTAGCCCAACGACCTGCACGTGAAGTCGAGCACTTTACGGTAGAACAGTTTAACGAAGACCAATACCGCACACTCACGGTCCCTACGCAGATTGATCCAAGTGGTCACCCACCAGCACACTGACCGTAGCCAGTGATGCTTGACTTCGGTGCTCTGCTGGGAGCCGTGTCTTAACGATTAGCTGCGGGACAATTTCGTGACCAAAATGGAGGGATGATAACAATTCTATCGATGTTGCACACCGATCGCCTTTACTTACTGGACAAGCAGATCATCGTCGATCTGTAACTAGATGCCACTGTGCGAAGATTAAATTCACGGTAATTTCGCGTTCATTATCGGAAACGTTAGACATTGATTACAATACAAAAAAGAAATATCGAAGTCGATATTTCTAATTTTTATAATCGTTGATAATATTTAAAACAGTATTATCATGCAAATTTCTTTAAGCACTAGATTTTTTTAAATTAAAATGGAGATTATTAAAGACAATTTTAAAAGAAAAAATGCTTTATCTTGTTACAAAAATAGCGTCCACTGTCAAAACGATATAAATTAGTAAAAATAGAAAATATGGCGATTTATTGTTAAATATTAATTTATGACGAAATATTAAATATTAATATTGAAATTCTGATATGGTCCAGAAATGATTCGCTTATAGTAAACTTTCACAAGATTAACTGCAAGATGCCTCATTAACCACTTAATCAGATTTTGCAGTATAATTGATGAAACTTGGCGATTTTCACAAACTTCGACATCACAACATTAGCAATACCTCGTCAGACGATGAAGTGGTGATCTTATATTTTCCTTTCATTTATTTCACACAAATAAAGTGATACATATTGAAAAAGCATAGCAATGAAAACAAAAACTAATTTACGAAATTGTCATAAAATTATAAAATTCCTTTACATTTCTGAAAATAAATTTGTACAAACATATTGATACTTTAAAAGCTTGATGATAACTTTAGCACTGAGATTTCTGCCCGGTACTCATTTAATGGATAATTACTGATTTTATTTATAATAAATTATTTTCTCTGCACAATATTATTTTAAGGCTTAAACTAAAATGAGTGTCTGAATTGTTTCAATGTTGTATATCACAGACGTCAGAAGTGAAGTTATACTCTAATAAAAGACAATGTCCAGTAACTCTGAAATAATTTTTCGTGCAAAATGAAAAAACATGATTTAGAATAAAGTTTTCCTGATTTTTTGAACCGTGTAGGCTAGTGATTAGAGTATCGAACAGGAAGGGTCTGGATTCGATCCTCAAAGCCGCTAAGACCCACCGAGTATAATCTGTAATCACCAAGTACTATCTGTATTCTTAATATCTGCGGAATCAAAAATCCTGCGGTCGGTTGCTGAGCAAAACCATGGGTGAAGGGGTTGGGCGAATATTTCTTTCCCTTTCTAATTAATGTCTAAATTGTGGAATAAGTGATGCTGCCATCTATCGGGTGGGTTCAGAGCTAAATCACACTGTCACCTTAGCGGTGTCCTTTTTTCAAACGCAAGGTTCTCCTACCAATGATGGCTGGCAAGATTTGCTTGTAGAAATGTCATTTAAAGGAAAATAATAGAATAGTTTTAAAAAAAATAAGGCTATTTTTTTTTACGCAATGAGCCTGTGTGCAAATTTCACAAACACTAAAGAGTAGTGTAAAAATATACATATGAATATTTTCTCCTTTTATTCTTTTAAAATTTCGAATCTAGTTTATAGCACAAAATAAGTACCGTAAGTAAGCTTAGAAAATATGTTATTATTAGATTTGAAATAAATAATAAATTAAACCTGTAAAATGAAATCTTGTTTCTAATGAAGTCTTCTCCTCTACCTTGAGCGAGGTAGTAGTCATTTTTTGTGCCAAAAATTTTGCCAAAAAATCCAACTGAAGTGAACTTATTTTCCGTTTTCAAAACTGGCAACGATAACTGCAAAATCTGCTGTTCTTCGTTGCTTAAAAACAATCCTCCTGAGTGAAAAAGATCCATTTTCAAATTCAACTTATCTTTAAGCATGCTTTCCTAATAAGAATAATAAATATTTTCGTTAACAAAAAAAAATATTGAGCGAGCTATGCTATTTTTTCAATACATATATCTTAGAGTATACATATATCTTGCTCCAAATATATCTTAGGTCATCAAGTATCAAATTTGTATCAACAAAATAGTTATAAAACAAATTTAAAATTTTCATAGGGGGTATGCACAAAAAATTAATAAATAAATTATAGCGTGTAACTTTTTAAAAAAAATAGTGTTTATATAGTCTCTGCTGATTTTTCAGGAATTATGTTCATTTTGCATAAAGTTTATCTTAAAATAAGTAGCAAGTATTTCGTATAAAATTTTATAATGGAAGCAGATGAAAAATTGATGTTTATTTTAAGATTTATTATTGTTATTGAAGATTGTTGTTGTTGTTGCTAATTTACGTTGCACTAGAGCTGCACAATGGGCTATTGGCGACGGTCTGGGAAACATCCCGGAGGTGTTATCGAAGAACCAAGATTGAAAGGTCAAGATTTTCTTTTAATGTAGATACATTTCTATGACTATGATTCCTATCACGATAAATTATTCAAATAGAAAAGAAGAAAAAAAAACTACTTTTGCTTAAAAAAATGTGAATGTTTCATTTGAAGTTAATCTCAATTTATTAATTTTCTCAATTTTCTTAACCTAACTTAATTATAAGTATTGTTCCGTTAAAGATAGCCATAAAAAAAATCTCCAAAATCAAGATGAGTGAATTCGAGACCACAAGGGCAGCATTTCGCCTCAACGATCAGTGTAGGAATACGGGCGGCATTTGCACTTAATCTTACAAATATCAGTGTTCAGTATTCCGTATAAGCGTATACCGACAAAGGCACTTAACCTTAAAGGAACATCAATGAAGGAAATATCGGGCAGAGAAATTTCCCGATAAAAAAAAAACTAAATAAAAATTTAAAAAAAAAAAAAAANAAAAAAAAAAAATTTGTGTAGGATATGCCGGGGAAAAGTAGACTGCACAAAGACACTTAACCTAGAAAAAAAAAAAAACATTAGTGTAGAGTATACTGGATAGAGTATAAACATTAGTGTAGAGCACTTAACCTTAAAAAAACGTCAGTTTAGAGTAAACCGAGCAATAGTACTCACATTACTTGATTAATCAGATTATTACAAAAATAATAAACAGCGATTATCATCAATTTGATTAATATGTCAGAGGTTTGATTTGGTGAAGAAAAAATTTCCATCGCCTAAGACCAAGGAAAAGACATTTTACTTTTTAATGTAATTTACAATTGCTTTTATGGAAAAATAAAAGTTCCTAAGACTTTAAACAATAATTTTTCTCTCTTACATAGGGCATTGTAATATTGTTTATGTATGGTAGATCTAAGAATAATGACACTCTATCATACCTACTGATTTTATCTTTAAATTAAGTTGAACTATTTACTCCCAGTCGAAGCTCTCATCCATAGAACAAATGTAAAAGCAAATAAGTAGATGATGATTACAGCGAAAGGAAACTGAAAAACATTTTCTTACTTAAATGATCCCTAATATTTTAGTTCATCTAAAACTAACGCGTAATTTATTAATCAGTACATTAATATCCCACTCTTTTAATTGCTTGGGAAGACATCAAATTTTTTATCAAAAGAAAAACTTCAGAATTTTTTTAAAATTTTATTTAAAAAAGCAAGCGTTATGCAACAATTTTTAATCTGAAAATAAATAACGAACACAATGCTTTAATTTCAGGAATATTAAACTACTGATACTTCATAGAAATAAAAATATCAGTATCACGATATCAGTATTTTGTGAGAAGTACAATAACAGAGGATCAAAATTGTGATGGCATGTCTTCGGATCATCCTCGGAGATGTTTCGCAGACCGTCGCCAATAGCCCATTGTGCAGTTCTAGGGCGACGTAAATGAACTACAACAAATCATTTTGTAATATATTATTTTGTGAAAATTCGAAAATAAGCATAAAAAAATAATACTTTGTTTTCATTTTTTTAAGCTAAATGAATTGTTTCATTTAAAACACATATTTTCGTTTTCTTAGACTTGTGCTTTCGTGAAACTATCCGACCAGCACGAGTGTGTACAGATACAGACAGTACTGTATCTGTACAGTATGTACAGATACAGTGCTGTATCTGTACAGTACTGTATGTGTACAGTACTATATATGTACAGTACTATATATGTACACTACTGTATCTGTACAGCATGTACAGATACAGTATGTACAGCTGCAGTAAATAGATGTGCAAATACATTTTTGCGTTCATGAAAATAAGCCTTAATTCAATATCATCTCAACTCAGCTAAAGTGCTTTTGCCCTTCAAAGCAGCAGAAATAGATAGTTGGAATCTATCAATGATAATTTTCGTTGTTTTTGTTTTTCGAATTTAATGTGACCGGTCAGTGTTTGTTTTGTGTATCTTAAATACTTCTATTATAAATTTCCTTAGAATGATGATTAAAAAAATTATCAATGTTATGGATGCCTTAAAAAGTATTTTTATTCTTTGCACTCGAGATAGTGGCTTTTTCGTGTCTAATATTCAAATCAAATTTCGTGAAAATTACAATATGAAATCTCATCCTTTATATTGTACACACGTCAATGAGGTCTGGAATAATAAACTGAAGAATTGTTCTAACTTATCTAATGACACAAAATTCAGACTTTATGAAACTATTCTTAAAGATATTATTAACTCGTGCTTGCCTAATTTAACATCCCAAATAGATATTCAAAGATTTCATTGGAACAAATTGTGCTCCATGTGCTGACGAACTTTATTGCGATGGTATGAAAAATTACCAGAATCGTCAGGCATACATGGCTGACCCACTTGGTGTTGAAAGTTTATTAATTGAAACCAATAATTATGCAATTTTCTTGAGAAAGAGATTGTGCAGAAATGATTGATATGATTTGTGCAGAGAAATGAATGATTGTCTCTGATGATTGATAGACATGGCAGTCATCCTGAGCCCGATGTATATAGTGCTGCTTTTTTACAAAATTGTTTTTTATAAATATATTTATTTTGATATTATTAAAAATCAAAGAAATGTATTACCTTAATTTAAAAATAAATACCTTTAAAATTATTAGAATTTTGGTTACTACTTTGCATAATGGAATGTGTGCACCAGTGATGCTTAATCTACTATAGGAGGGACCTGATATATCATTATAGGTACTGCTGTATGCCTATAATGGTATATTAGGTGTACCCCATTTGTGCACTCCTGAAATTCTGCAAGATTAGTAGAAGTAATTGCGACCATTTTTTTAAAGAAAAATTGAGTTAAATATTTTAAGGGTACAAGTGTATGATTTCATTATTTAAAATTGTAGAAAAATTATAAACCCTCTTAAGTTATTTAGTTAAAGACTCTTAATTTAGTGATTATAATTAACCCCCCAAAAAAGTAAAAGTTTGATTTAATTTCGACTCTCAGCTGATACAGATGGCCCATCCTGAAACTGATCTTGATTTATGATCAGATCCTCTAGAAACCTTATTCAATTCTTATACATGCTGGTTTGATGGCATAGTTAGACTCATTTGACCCTATACCAAATTTTAATGAAGTTATGCTTTTTTGGTATTTCCAGTACATTAACATCTATTTTTTTTCCAATATACTTTATATTCATGACTATTATGTTTTGAGTTTCAGCCGGAGAATTGATATTTTTAATATTTCATTGTTATGAATTATTAAATAATATTCAACATGTTTTATATTATTGATTTTTTGTTTGAGCCTGAATATTTTTAACACAAACTTTGTTTGTTAATCTGTTCAAAGCTTTTCATCTTAAGGAATTCATGTGAAATATTTTTTTCTTTATCTCATATTAAATACAGTACAGAACCCGTTATCCGGAAAGCAGAAAACCAAAAAACCGGAACAAAATTCGATAAATTTTCTCGCCGTTTTTAAAAAAAAAACTTTTTTTTCTCATGAGATTTTCGGAATTTTCTTTCTTGTTTTAAATATGTTTATCTTACCATCATTTTGGAAATAATCATTAGTGTATTACCTCATAGTTTTTTTTTATTTTTAAGATTATTTCCAATTTTTTTTTTTTTTTTTAGTTGGGTTTAACTATAAGAAAACGGCTTTTTGTCGCTATTCAGAAAACCGGAAAAATCCGTTATCCGGAATAGCGATGGTCCCGACCGTTCCGGATAATCTGTTCCCTACTGTACTTCTACTTTTAGCATGCCATCTTCATGATTATTGATTCCAAAGCTTTTTAGTCTCAGACCCATATTTAGAATATTTACCTTTATAAATCATTAAATATAATTCAAGACATTATTTTGTTACAAAAATGTTTTTTTTTTTCATTGATTTCCAGTTTGAGTCCCATTATTTTCTACTTTATATTCATCTATATTTAGGAATATTTATCTATAAGTTAAAAAAATCAACACACTGAAAGTTGAAAATAATGATGATTTCAGGTTTGAGTTCCTGTATTTGTCTCATACTATCTTTGTGTTTATCTTGTTCCCAAGTTTTTTCAATCTTAAAATTCATTTTTGGAACCTTTACCTTTATAAATCATTAAATTTTAAAAAGTTTTTTTTAGTAGGAAATTTTATGACTATTTTTTTCCTTATGAATTGTTAATTTTGAATCAAAATTTCCAGTTTCATTTAGTTTGTTTTCAAATTTATGTTTTAAAAATATCAGTAGTATAAAATAAATTTTTAAAATTTTAAGTTCTTAAATTTTTAAAAAGTTATAGAAGCTTTAGAGCTTTTTAGAAATAGATCATAAACGAAGGGAAAAAATCATATTATCTTCTTAAGGTGATAAAAGATTTTCTTCACATAAAAACTTAGCAACTTAATATTTTTATAAGCTGAAAAAGTATTTACTGTAATATTTTAAAAAGTACTTGATTTTAGCACTTATGTATTATTCCATCAACCATTTTTGCCTACACTGAGCCTAAGTCATTTTAGTATCTTCTGAATTTATTTTTGCATAGTTATTGATCATCACGAAATAGACAAAATGCAAATAAAACTTATTGTATGCAAGAAATAAAAAAAAATTTTAAATTTGAACCAAATTAAAATTTATTTTCAGATTTGGGAAAAATGGTTGATATACTAAGGTACCTCGAACTTTTGATGAAAAATAACTTTTAATATTATGCCATGTAATTGAATCAAAATAGACAAAAAACTGTCAATGCACTTTGCTGTCCTTTTTTTCCCCCACTAGAAAGCAGTTTTATCTGTCTGAAGTAAAAATGAATCGGATCAGGTGTTACTTTTGGCTTATAATGTAGATTTGTGTACAAAAATTTATCTATTTACAGTTGTGTTACTTTTTTCTTCTATAATGTATATACTTCTAACTTTTAGGTCATAACAAGTGGAGCAAATGAGGACATCAAATACTGTGAAACATCTAGAACATGTGAAGAAGTGTTTGAAACAGTTTTGAAAGAAATCAGAGATGAAATGAATATCCCATTAGAATGGGATGTGCCTATCCCAACCAATACTTCTTGGCATTGATTACAATCTTACTTGGAGGAGATCATTCCTAAAATTTATTGTTAGGTAAAAGCAAAAATTTTTTAATTTAATGTCAATTTTTACCAGGAATGGCTTGTTTAAACCTAATGTTTTTTTACACATATCTATTTTCTCTTTTTCATTCTGAATCTTTTATTATGTTATAATATTATTATTTTCTTTTAAGCTTGATAACCTATTGCTGTTTTCTTTAGTCATTGTAAAATATTTTTATTACAAATGAAAAAATTAAAGGCTTTTGAAATTTTTATCTGGTACAATGATTCAGTACAAAAAAATATATTGGATCTACAAAAAATTACGTTGGCAGAGTAAAGCCTACTATGCCATATAAACTTCTTTTTTTTTTTTTTAAATCTCTCACCCCTTCCCAAACATGAGTGTTAACCCAGAATATTGTTATAGTGTTAACCCAGAATATTGTTATAATTCTGTTATTGTTATAATTATTTGAAATCTATAACTTCTGTAAGTTGTTTCCAAATGAATGTACTAAAACTCAACTTTGTTTCTCAATCAAAATGGAAAAAATTTTTGATTTCCATATGCAAATTTTTTGAAAATCTTTATTGAGTGGGTATCTTAAATTTTTTTTTCGTAATGTTTAGGACTAGGTTTTATTACACAAATGTGTTATTTGGTATCTTAAATTAGACTGACAGTTTTCAAAAATTTATTGGAGTGAAACATTTAAAAATAAAATAGGGAAGCAATTCTTGCAGCAAATATGTCTGATAAGACATAAATTTTTCTCCCAGAAATCTTGATTTCTTGATGTTAGTTTTTCTGCTAAAGTAAGTGGCTGTTTGTCCCCTCTACTGTTTCGTTTTAATATATAATTATTTTGTTCTCAAATGATGACTTTTGATAGTAGCTGATTCTGTACATTTTAAAAATATTGTAATGTGATTTTCATTTTTTTTTAAAACCAATTTATACATTTAGGATGTGATATCTATCCTTTGTGAGATGGTTTTATTTTGGTGTGTTTGCTTAAATCACTCTGAATGATGAGAAGGACTTTTCATAATGTATATATATTTATTTTAGTGCCCTCGATTATTAATGCTTAACATTAAATACCAAAATTATACATATGCTGAATAACATAAAAATTCCGGAGCACCACTGCTACCTTCTGCATCCATACTCTCTCCACATCCAGTCTAAATTAAAAAAAATCTTCTCACCAAAAAAAGTCCTTCGCTTCACCTGACTCCACTCCCACTTTAGGGGAACGACACTTCCCGTGTCCCTCACCTTTTGACCCTCAGGTCAGGGGTCAATCAAATGTGTGGGAGAGGAATCAGAATCCTGATATAGGAGACTTATAGGGCAATATGTTGAAAAACTTATAAATTTAAAACAGAATCTCTAGGAGAAAAAATTTATGCCCTGACGCATAAATTTGCTGCAAACATTCTTTTTTAAATCTGAAGCGTTTTCCTGATATTTCTTTTTAAAAACTGTCAGTCTAATTTAAGACACTCTGTCCATAAAATTTTGTCACAGCTAAAATAATTTTATATCCTTATTCTTTGAAATAATTTAGTTAAAGCTTTTTTAGATTTACCCTTTTAATTTATGATCATTAAAACTTTGCATGTGACTTTACATTTGTGAACGTGCATAATTATTAAAGACTTTATTCATAATATTTTTAACATGTAAGTAATTTCAACGCAATGAAAGTTTGTTTTGCAAGATAAGATAGCAGTAATTAGCATTCTTATAATTTTAACTTATATTTATCATAGGAATTACTACAGTTTTTGATTTATTATTGTGATTACTATTTTTTTTAAATAAAATTTCAGTAACCTTTTAAGTGTTTTTTTATTTATTTATTTAATTTAGAGTGAATATCTTGTTCCTTGTGACAGACGTCGAGCTTTTATCTCAGGATTTACTGATACAACTAAGTTTAGTTAAATAAAGACTCAACAGTGCATGTTTCTTTGCATATTTCATTAATGGTTTTAATAAGTTCAAACTGAGTTTATCATCTATATCTGTACATGAAACCTGCATATATTTCATTTTTATGATTAGTTAATATTAAATATTAACTAAAGAAGGACACTTGCCATTATTATAAAAAATGATACTTTAACGAAGGAAGCAAATTATTTTATGAATTTTTATTTAAAATTTGGCATTCAAATTCATAAATTCTTGTTTTAGAAAAATTTTATTTTCCAGACCATTTTCAAAGAAATAAAGATAGGAAAAATACAGAGAATTCTCCCAGTTTAGTTTTATTTGTACTTCTAACTAAAAAATAACAGAATATGTCAATTTAATTTGAAGTATGAAATCCCTCCATTTTGTTTTATTATCCCTGGAATTGCCCACTTTTATTAAGAATTTTATGGGAAGTTATTTGGACTTTTTTATTAAATGATCATACATAGTTATTATTAATATTTTTCAGCATTTTGTTGCAGCAAGAAAAATCTATCTTAACTTATTAAAATAAAATAAAAAATTTAACTACAATTATTACTGTTTAAGATTTTAAGTCATTAACGTATGTATATTTAACACAAGCGCCACCTTTAATTTTCTTTAGATTTATTTGTTTTAAAATTTCACTTTAGGTTGCNTTTTTTTTTTTTTTTTTTTTTTTTTTTTTTTTTTTTGTTTAAGTTTGGATTATATATTTTTTTGAGAATTCGTTTTGATGCTAAATCATTGGTTATTAAAAGATTAAAGTTTTATATTTGTTATCATTCATCTGTAGAACTTGTAGTTCATTTGATTGATTTTATTTAAAAGGCATCCTCATTATTTATTTCAACTTATTTACTGTGATTGTTGACCAATGATTTTTCTTGTTGTTGACCAATGATTTTTCTTATCCTGCTTGGGGTTGTAGGAAACAGGATTTATATTATACTACAATTTTTTAAAATAAATACAAATACTAGTTATTCATTCTGAACATATATATTTTTTTAATAATATCCTCTGTATTTTCACTTTTTTTTTATTTCTCTGACTAACTTTTGATAGAAAAATTTACCTCAAAACATAAAACCAAAAATCCTATATTTCAAATTTAGTTTCTTACAGAACAGATGCTAAATACATTTTAGATAATTCAATCCATTCGTAAAAATACATAGTTAAATTTGTGCATCAAAAGAAAAATATTCTCTGAACAGAATGCAACTTAATATTCTTGAGGTGATCAAAATTTTGTCATATAAAGGCAACTTAAAATTTTTATATGATGAAATTGTATTTTCTGTAATAGTTTAAAGCACTTTTGAAACTTTAATGAAAAATGTTTAAAAGCTATGTAATTAAATCCAAACAGACAAAGATATCACTTTTATGGCTAACAGCAATTTTATCTAGCTGAAGTAAGAAATAATATAGCGAGGTATCACTATTGGCATATTATTTAGATTTATGTAAAAAAATTTACCTATTTAAAGTTATAATCGTATTTTTTATTTTAATAGTGTAAATATTTGTGGCTTTTAGGTCATGACTAGTGAAACAAATCAAGAACCATCTAGAATATGTGAAGAAGTATTTGATTCAGTTTTGAAAGAAATCAGAGATCTCATTAGAATCCCTCTCCCCACCGATGTTTCTTGGAATTGATTACAATCCAGATACTTGGATAAGAATATTGCCAGAATTTATTGTAAGGTAATAACAGAAATTTTTTCGTTTTAATTTAATGCCAAATTTCACCTGGAATATCTGGCTTAGATCTATTTTTTTTCCTTTCTTTTTTACATATGTATATTTTTTTTCTACTTCATTCAAAATCTTTTATTTTTCATGTTATCGTAGTATTACTTTTATTTATTTATTTTTCAACTTCATAAGTAATTTTCAACTTCATAATCAAAATTTTTTTTTTCACAAAAAAAATTAAAAGAATCTTAGGAAATTTGGATTTAATGACGAAAATTTATATGATAAAGAGAAAAATTATTGTGATCTTTTGTGTTACTCAGAACATGGGGTACGATAGTATGTTAGACCATCAAAATAATTCAGAGAATCTTTATTATAAGTATTATTCTAGCATATGCAATTATTTAATTTTTTATTAATTTTATAGAATTATGCAATTATATATTCTTAAAAATGATTATTTAAATTTTTTTATATATTTTTAGAATTAGAAAAGTCATCTTATTCTTTGTTAAAAATTTGATCTATACTAGTCTGAAATGAAGAATAACAAAATTTCAAGAAATAATAGATAACAAATATTTCATGAAAACTACTTAAATTACTTTTATTTTTCTCACTTCTACAAGTATGCATTTTATTAATTTTATTTATGAAAATGCACTCTACCCTTAATTAAATTAAAACAAAATTTAGAATATAGTGTTTAAGATACCTACGCAAAAAACAAATCAGGTAAATTCCAAGCAGAATATCTTGTATCGACACTCCTAAAAATTGCACAAAAAGTTAGCTGCATGTAAATTTTTTAAAAAAAAACTATAAAATTTTATCAAATATTGTTCTTTTAAAAGAAATTTGAATATGATCAAAACTTTTATGAGCATAAGATTTTAAAAATTGTGTCTATGTGTTTATAAAGACCTTATGTTCTAGAATGATTTAAATTTGTGTGATGCAGTGCCAATAAAGATAAAAAAATATTTTTATATCCAACAAATATTGTTAAATTGAATAAATAAAATATATCAAAAATATTGTCCATGAGATGATTTAATTCTAGTTTTTTTTCTGTCTCGGTCAGAAAATATCAGGTGTTTAATTTCACAGCTATTTTTTTTTATATATCTTTTGATAACTTTAATTTGATATAAATAATTTTAACTGTTATGTTTCATTATGCAAAATCATTTAGTTTTGATACCAAATATTTGTTTTTTACGAAATTCAATAAATATTGTGTACAGTAAGAATGATTTTCTTTTTTTATTAGATTGCCTCGTCTTATCTTTATTATTTCAAGTTTTTTCTATATTTTAAAGAAATGATTCAATTTTAAAATTAATTTAAATAATACTGTACCTCACTTTATAGATTCATTCTACTAAAACTCGCCTTTTACTAATGAGATCCCCTATAAAAATGTTTTCGGCAAATCGGCTTTGTATACTGAACTAAACAAAAGTTTTTCAAACAATTTATGACAATTCTTTTTATTTATTAAATAATCTATACTATAAAACCAAATATAAACATTCATAAATTTGTAGAAAGTGATAAGAATAAATTTATTCGTAAATCAAGCTGGACAAGTTCAATTTCAGATAGATAGATTAAAAATTTGGTTGATTAAAGCTACCTATGATAAAGGTTTATTATTTTGTTTTCTAAAGGAGAATGTAATTCCGGTTGGGTGGGCAGAGGACTTTCTTCCTTTGGAGAAGTATAAAAAATAACCATGAAACTTTCTTTTAGTTATCTGCTTTCTTTAGAGTTAGTTCTGCCACTGTATTTCCTATTTTTTGAAGGGAAAAATTGAAAAACTGTAAAGTATTTTTCTTCCTTTAATCATTGTATTGACTAAGATTAAATTATTGTTTAAAAAAAATGAGGGGGGGGCAAAACCATCAAAAGATAAATAAAACAGTACTAATATTTTTTTCTTAACCACACTTTTTACAGAAATGACATTATTTCTAAATAAGTATTTTAAAAGTTTGCAGAATTGACAATTATATTCCACTATATTGATGTATTTTACTATAACACTATATCCGAATATATTTATTGCCTGTGGTGAAATTTGGTTTTTGACCAAAACTGCTCTTAGAAAAAGACTCTCTTAAAATTTTGCTTTGTTGTCCAATACCTTTGTTTAAATTGGTATTCTTTTGGTGAGTCAAAATTAAAAGAAAAATCTATATTGACTTATCAAAATAAATAAATAAATTCTAAATTACAATTATTACCTATGACTTTTCTTATCATCTTACTTATGGTTGTATTATCGATAGGTTAATATTATCCTACAACTTTTTTTAAAAAATTCAAGGTTTAGGCAGACATTTTGAATACATTTTTTTAAAATTTATTCTCTGTACTTATTCTTCTTTATTATTATTATTATTTCTCTCACTAAAGTTTGAAAAGAAACATTTATCTCAAAATATTTTACACAAATTCCTAAATCTAGAAGTTGGTTTCTCACAAAGCAAATGCTTAAATATATTTTAGGTAATTTAATCTATTTGTAAAATACTAAGTTAAATTGGTGCATCTTATTTTATAAAATTAATCATTTTTTAGTCAAAAAACATTATTATTTAGTTTCGAGTGAAAACCCTTATTGCTATGCAATTGCATTTGTATGATACTCATTCTGTCTTCACCAAATTAAATGAATTTTTTTTCTTTTTTTATGATCTAAAAAGCTAATTTTTATTTACAAACATATTTTGTGGTTATTATACATAAAAGTGTGGAAAAATTTTTGTATGTGTCATATTATTCTGACGCCATCATTAAGGATTTTTATCAATCACCTGACTAGTGTACAGGCCTGATACAAGAATTTGACTTTTAACATGAACATTTAATAAATAATATTATGTTATTATCATTAATGTTGAAGAGAACTGCAAAAGAATAATAGGTAATTAAATAAAAATAATAATCATAATTTAATATTGTCATACTCCTAAAATATTTTTAAAAAATGTATAAACGATTTTTCTCTTTTTCTTCATTATTGTAATATAAGAACCAAAACATTGTTTCAAAAATTGATCCAGTCTATAAATTTCTATATCTTTTATTTGTTTATTTTTAAATATCGAGATATATTTTTTTGTGGCCCTTTTTTATATCCAACGATAATTTTTTGAAAATATCAATCATATTTATTTAAACTCTTGGTTTCTATGAAATTCGATTGAATTCTATATTTTGATAGTGTTAAAATAATTTTTTCTACAAATATGTTTACTTGTTTTATTATTTCCAGTATAACTGCTAAGAAAAAAAATTAAATAATAAATTCAAAAACTTGATGTTTCAAAATTAATGTTAACTTCAAATCTTTGGTCCCATATGTTCTTATACTATTTAATGAGATTATAGAAGTTAAAATCAAAATTTAAATTTTGTGTCATTAATTGCTGAAATTATTAAAATCAGTAAGACTAGTCATCGATTTTTTTTTTCTTGTGCATGAGAATCCATATAATTTTTGTGATATTTTGTGACAGTTTCTTATTTAAAAAATTCTGCTACCTAATTTACAACATTAATATAAGCTTAAATAATTGCACTTGCAATAAAAAAATGGAGTTTTAAAAAATTTATTCAGACCAAATGTGTAATGAAATACTTTTTTTCTTTTTCTTTGTCTAAAATTGTTTTTTAAACTACTAATTTTATTTCGATTAATAATTGTTATTAAAAATTTAATTTTACAAAATATTACTTTGGCTAATGAAGGTTTCCTTTAAATTTTACCTAAGCTCTACTTTTTCTTAATTTCATAACAGCAGCGCATGAAAATCGAATTTTGATAAGTTTTTCCTTGCAGAATAGAATAAATTTTTTTTATCTAGATTAAATGAGTAATTGTACTTTAGTTAAAGAAAAAGATTACAAGATTTATTTTTCGATTATTTAAATTTTTTGAAGTGATACTTCTTATGCGACTTCCAACAAGGTTGCGTTTAACGCTACATTTTTATTGGCCGGGAAATCACGTGGTAGGATCCAGTTTTCCCTCATTCATTTCCATATTGTTTTGGTTCTCACTAGCATAAAAATAATAAAAGTCATAAAAGTATTGTTTTTCTATAAATATTTTTTTAGTTTGATTTGATACGCATATAGAAAGATAAGTA